GCACAGCAAAATTTTCTTGCTTGCTCTTTTCATCCTCAACCTGAATGCAAACTGAGGATGTTACGTTCTCCTTGGCATGATCCTCACGGAATGATGCTCTGACAACCTTGTTGTTGTTGTTATGTGCCGTGGAGTCGGTTCCTACTCATAGCGACCCTGTACAGGGTAACCGAGGCTGTAAATCTTTGCAGGAGCAGAAAGGCTCATCTTTCTCCTGTGGAACAGCTGGTAGTTTCGAACTGCTGACCTTTTGGTTAGCAGCCCAATTCGTAACCACTACGCTACCAGAGACAAAGCAAACCCCCCAGTGATGCTTCCATTTCCGAGCATTTGCTCTGTACCTGAGTGCAGCCTTCTTGATGTGTCCCCAGGGATGGGGCAGGAAAACACATCGTCAGAAAGAAAGCTACTGCCCCCAACCACTTTGACCTCCAGCAGGTCTGGGGCAGAGAGGGAGGAGGGAGGACCAAGGTGAATGAAAATGGCTCTGGGGGCCTGAACACCGGCCGGCCACTGCATTTATTTATATCACAGGGAGTTACAGTTGTCGGTTCTACAGCTGAGAAACTGGTCCCTGTCTAGGGGAAGGGACAAAAATCAGCTTTGTCCATGATCTTGGCACCCACTGCTTCTGTTCAAATGGTGCCAAGAGACCCAGGGGGGAGGAAGTTAGGAAGGAAGCTAGGGCAGACACTGAAAAAGGAGAAACGGAGTCACCTGCTTTGTTTGCATCCAAGTTGGTAGAAGCATCATCTGTAACGTTGCTGGGGATACTCTGGTCTACCCAACCAAGGAAACCACTCCCACTGCCCAGAACAGTGTGGCAGAGAGACCACTCAAGCCAAGTCCTTTGAAAGATGCTAGTCTGGGGCTCCATTCTCAATGCGATTTAACTGCAGAAGCAGGATTTGCAATTCCCAAAGGGCTTAAAGCAAGATCCGCTCCATCGTTTAAGCGGAGATCTACTGACAGTTTGGGTTTACATGAGTATTGACAGAAATGATTACTTATGGAATGGAGAGGAAGTGCTAATTCCACCCTGAGCACACCCACATAATTCTGTAGTATACACCTGTGGTCCCTTCACACAGGGACCCCAAAGCTTTGCACTTGCAGAATCCACACTGGCCTTAGTGAAGGGGCTCTGTTCCTGCCCCTTCCAGCACACTCTTTTCACCCCCTAACCCTACATACAACATTCCCTTTCATATGTAAAAAGGATGATTAGTTAACATGAAGCAAGCAAAGAACAAAATACTGAATTAAGAGCCAAAGAGTAACTTCTCAAGAAGAAAGTCACAAGATTCAAGGCTTACTCAACATGTATCCTCTTTTCCTTTCAAAGTTTCAAGATACTATGCTTCCCTTTGCCGTCTGTCACTTTCCTGCCTCACCCATTTTGACTTTTGAAAGTCTCCCTGATAAAGACTTCTATGCTCTTACACTGTACTAGAACCCTTTGGTAAATGACCCCAAAACTCCTGAATCAACTGCTGGGTGTCTCTACAGTACCCACTTTACCTTCACTGGCACTTTGGGAACTCCGAGAAAAAAATGCCTTAAAACCCCCACCCTCTCTAACACAGCAATTTCAAGCCTAGGAATTTATTTCAAGGAAATAATTAAGGACATCCACAAGGATTCAGTTAAAAGGATGTTTATCCCAGCTGCTGTTTATAATCATGAATAATTGGAAACAACCCCCACATCCCTCAAGTGGGGCTAGAAGATCGAGGGCTCGGGACTGACTGAGAGGAAGAGACCAAACCACCACCATTCCCAGTGTCCACAGTGAAGACAGAGACCTAGGATAATCCAGATTTTACAAGGCCTGAACCAATTCTGGGAAGCTAACTTGTGGCTTTGTGGGTTAATGCTCCTTGGAAACCCTATCAGGGTTGCAATGGGTCAGAATCGACTCGATGGCACATCACAACAACAACGTTTTCAAAGAACAAAAGTAATTCATGAGTACAAAATTAGGTACACGCCTTGATAGAGGTCTGTGCCTTTTGTTTCATCAGCCTCATGGAAATACAAAGAGGGTGTAATGAGATGGTGGAAGTCTTTTCCTTCAAAGGCCACAAGTGTCCAAGACTGAGCCACACAGTCAGCAGAGAATAGGGCTCAGTCAGGGTCTAAGAAAAAGACAAAGGATGTTCAAACCAAACTCACTGTCACTGTTGTTGTTGTTGTTATGTGCCATGGAGTCGATTCCGACTCATAGTGACCCTGTACAGGGTTTCCGAGGTTGTAACTCTTTACGTCAATATCAATTCATAACCCAGTGTTGGCTTCCAAGGCTATCAATCTCTACATGAGCAGAAAGCCTCATCTTTCTCCCTCGGAATGGCTGGTGAGTTTGAGCTACCGACCTTGAGTCCAGTGTTTATCCAACAGCACCACCAGAATACAAAGGCTTAAGAAAAGAGAGAAAAGGGACATGGAGGAAAATACTTGATGAAAAAAAAAAAAAAAGAGCAAGCAGACACAAAGCAAGGGATCAGGTAGAATTCTTGGTTCAGCGGTAGAATTCCTGCCTCCCCCAAAGAGCCTTGTGTTTATTTCTAGTCAATGCACCTCCTGCCCAGCCACCATCCATCTGTCTGTGGAGGGCTTGCGTGTTGCTATGATCAAGTTCCAGCAGAACTTCCAGGCTAAAGCAAATGAAGAAAGACCTGGCAAGTCTACTTCCAAAATTCACCCAATAAAAACCACAGGGATCACAAACAACGGTCTAATCCACAATCAGTAATGCATGGGGATGGTGTAGGGTTGGGCAGTGTTTGGTTCCATTGTGTAGGAGGTTTGCGTGAGTTTGGAATCCCCCTAAATCAACAGTCAACAACAGCTAATAACAACAATAGTACAAAATATATGTGTGTGTTGGGGGGAATTGTTTTTGTAAGATTTCAGTAGAGTTTAATGGGTAACTGAAAAAATATGGGACAAGCATATTGGTCAGTACAAAGAGCAATTGGTCAGTACAGAAGTGGGGAGGGCACTTTTGAGAGCAGAAGCCCAGCTGGCTAGGTGCCAGGGACACCTTACATACTGTTCCACCACCCACCAGGCCAGGCACCAATACTACTGCCCAGCTCCACAGCCCTCCCTACCACTTTCCCTGGGTGCTGAGTTTAAGCAGATGGGCTTTTCTTGTACTTGGCCACATCTGTTCAAATAGCATCATTTTTTTTGAAGCACCACAGGCTAAAACAACTTTTCCATGTCAGAGGCCCTCTTGACTCTCTACCCAGTTGTTCCCCTGCTGGGGCAGCTTAGACCTGAAGCCCATCCAATCCAGGTGGCAGGGGCCTGGCATCTCCCCCTTGCACTGTTAAAGAACCCTGGGCGCCACCACAAGCAACTCCCTAGATCCCATCACAGTGCCCCTGCTCACTCTGGGTTGTCCCATCAGCAGCCCCCTGCCCAGAGCAGCCTCTCTATTTTTGACAGCTCTTCCCACGTGCTTGGCCACACAGTCTGGAAACCCCAAGAGGGATTCTGGGATGTGGTCTCCAACTATCTCTGCCCCTGCTGAGCTCGCTACCAAGTCCAAACTGAGTCCAATAAAAAAAGTGAAAAAAGAGTCCGGCCTTAAACTCAGCAACTGGGATAAATGGTTAGGAAGGCTGTGGAACAGAAGCTATATATATGAGGACTTTTAAAAGCTGGCTCTCTTGGAGGCAATGCTCCTAAACAGCATGATTGTTAATAGGCTGGCGGGTCACAGAGTCCCCGCTTTTCCAGGAATGCTTCAGTGCACACGGCTCCACAAACCACCCTTTTCCATCAACCTCTGTCCAACTGCGAAGAGTTTCTTTCAGGCAGAACTGCATACTACCAGCAAAGGCATCATTAACCTCACCCTCCCAGCACTCACAGAAGTGTCTGTAGCTCTCAAAGATGCTCCATGCTGGTGGCCCACAATAAAGCTAACCCAGACTAGATGTCACCTGGGCCCCCACTGGGGTGGGACATGCCCTTGAAAGGGGAAACTATCCACAGCCCAACTCTCTTTGATAAAGTGGCCATTGGGGGGCTGTTCCGTTTCCTCTTGTCCTAAGGAAGGGACTAGGGAAGTCACTAAGCTCACCGTAATGTTTCTCCTTATGTTGGACACTCAGGCTCTACATCCCCCATTGGTGGGGTCTAATGGGAAAAGCCCCCACTCTTTCTTTACACCAGCCTCTTGGAGGCGGAACTCAGGAAGCAGCTTGACACTTTTATTTTCATTCTCATCAAAAAGCTGGGCTATCTGAATAGGTTTCGCAAGCGCACAATCAGGTCCCTCACCTGTAACCATATGAAATAAGACCAGGATGCCCCCCAAAGCAACCAACTCTCCAAGGGCCTCAGTTCCACGTACATAGAAAGGCTGGTTAGAGGCGGTAGAGGGGCCTCTGAGTTCCAATGCGCCTCTCTGACTCCCCATCCCTGGCTCCTTAATAAGCCCCACTCCGCACCCTCTTCTTCCCGACCAACTGCCTTAGTATCTTCGGTTCTCTACGCTTCCAACGCGCAGTGGCGCTGGACAAGCTTCAAATCTGGAAAGAGGCGGGCGGGGTGTTGCCTAGAAATCGCCGAAATAGGACCCGCATCTCGAGTGCCAGTCAGCTCCGAACCCTGCGTGGTTAGGATGCCCGCCCGGCCCGAGGCGGCCTCTCGCAGCCGATCCGAGTTACTTAGCGGCTGCCGGAGACACTTCACGAGAGTCCTTCTGCGAGGCCCACTAGGCAAGTCCACTGTTCTCCCCTCTCGTACCCGGGGCTTAGACCCCAAGAGAAGCGCCAGTCTGGCCCCCACTGGGCCGGACTGGGTCGTGCGCGGGGCTGCGGACCCGGCGCCCTGCCTCCTCCCCGCCTCCCCCAGTGGTGGAGCCGCGCGCCGCGGAGACATTTAAATCGCCCCCTCGGGACGGCGGCGTGGAAGAGGCCGGAAAGCCGGCGGCAGCCGGCGGGCGGGCCAGGGCCGGGGTCGGGGCGCGCTAGGGCACTTACCATCGCGTGTTGTCGTGGAAATGCTCCAGCACCGCGTAGCCGAAGAAGGAGCCGTCAGGGCCCTGGAAGCGCACGGGACGCTGCGGGTCCAAGTTGTAGGCGCCCGCGGGGGTCGCCGCGGCCACCAGCGCCAGGAGTAGCGTGCGGAGCCCCCCGGCGCCAGACCGTGCCGCCCGGCTGCCCATCCCCGAGAACAGGGCGCTGAGCGCGCAGGCAGCGGTTCACCGACGGCCGGGAAGCTCCCCGGGGACGGAGCTCTGCGCGAGGGGGAGGCCGACGCCGAGGGCAAGTACTGGAACCACGAGCGGGCGGCGTCCTCAGTCCTGCCGTGAAGTCGGCGCGCTTCGAGCGAGCGGGTCCCAGGCCGGTCGGACAGCTCTGGACTGCAGAGAGGCGCGCCCGCGGGTGGGCGGCCCGGGCGGCAGGACGGGGCGGCAGCGCCCCCTGCGGGCTGTATGTTCCCCGCACACTCTCCGGCCAGGAGATAGTCCCTGAAACCTCTTGAGCTACCTCAGCTCCCTGCAACACCATGGCCACTGAGGACCCAGGAAGTGACCCTGATTCCCTCTGAGGCTAAGTATTCTGCCGGCTCTCTTTGTGTGTCTTTTCCCTTCTCTGTTCCCCACTCACCCCAACAAAGACCAAAGAAACAAGGGAGAAAACTCGAATTCATATTCTAGCCTTGCCCATCTTCTGCTTCTTCATCAGACCGTAAAAGATTACCTGATACTAGTAAGCACTCAATAAACACTACACTGCATTCACACCCAACTTCTAGTTATTTCTTAAATATGTTCAACGGGGATTTTCACACATCTGCGCCTTCTCCAATGCTGTTCTTTCTCACCTTAACCCTTCTGTCCTGCTTCCTCTGCCCCATCCTCCTCTGAGCTCCCATGTTGTTAAAGGCCATTGAGACAGTTCTGACTCATTGCGACACTGTGTAGGGTTTCCAAGGAGTGGCTTGTGAGTTTGAACCGCCCACCTTATGGTTTGTAGTCCAATTTTTATCCTAACAGCACCACAGCAAGACTGTCTATGCCCTCATGGTATTGTAAAGTACCAACAAGTTGGTTCCGACTCATAGCAACCCTATGCAGTAGAACAAAACACTGCCCAGTCCTAGGCCAACCTCACAACTGTTGCCTCGCTTGAGCACATTGATGCTGCCACTTTGCCAATCCAACATCTCGTTGGGGGTCTTCCTTTTTTTCTCTGACCCTCCACCTTACCAAACATGATCTCCTTCTCCAGTGACTGGTCCCTCCTGACAATATGTCTGAAGTATGAGAGAGAGACGAAGCTTAGCCATCCTGGTCTCCAAGGAGCACTCTGGCTGCACTTCTTCCAACATACATCAGTTGGTTCTTTTGGCAGCCCATGGCAGTTTCAATATTCTCCTCCAACACCCTGTAAAGGGTTTCCAGGGAGTGGCTAGTGAGATTGAACCACCAACCTTGTAGTTCAACCCCACTTTACAATCCAATACATTAGTCGGCAGCACTACACCAGGACTCCCAGGGTTCCTATGTTGTTGTTAAGTGCTGTCGAGTTGGGTCCAACCCATAGCCACCCTGTATAGGGTTTCCAAGAAGCGGATGGTGAGCTTGAATCGCTGACCTTGCAGTTCAAACCAACCTTGCAGTCTAGTGCATAAACCCACAGTGCCGCACCAGGACTGGCACTGTACATATGCCTCTATCTCAGCACTAATATTTGAATGGGGGCGGGCACAACTCTCTGTCCCTGTCAGAGCCTATAAAGAAGAGTTGTCATTACCTTTGCAGCCCCAAGGCCCAGCGCAGTGGCATCATAGATAAATATTTAAACATTGCTGAAAGAACGTACTGCTTGAAGAAAAGCCAACTTAGTAAGAGGTTAAGGCACTGTGGGGGAAATTCTAAAGTCACTAAGCTTTGAGTTTTGGTTGTTATCCATTCTCACTTTAGGTAATAAAACCAATTTTCCATGGGTAGTAGACATTGCTAGTGACGTCCCAATAACCATTCTTTCCATTTTCCTGTCTAACAGAGTCCTGAATTGGGGATCTAATGTGGGGCCTAGCTTAAAAAATAAATAAAACTTTGCTTCCCAGTGTCTTTTGCAGACAGGGTCACCATGTAATAATGTTCCAGTCAAGGAGATGTTGTTGTTGTTGTTAAGTGCCGTCGAGTTCCAACCCATAGTGACCCTATAGAGTATACAGTTTCCGAGGAGCAGCTGGTGATCTTGAACCGCTGACCTTGCAGTTCAAACGGCTTTGCAGTCTGGCGCATTAGCCCACAGCGCCTAGCACATGTTATTTGGACAGTGTTTCCTGGGATGGTTTCTTTTTTTTTTTTTTTTTTTTCTGGGATGGTTCCTTTAAAAAGGCACCCTCAGCTGGTCTGTGACTTTTACCTTGTGCACTTCACCCTCTTGCCTGAACCACAGAAGACAGAACTGAACAGGCTAGAGCCTTTTGGGCAGCTACTTGGAGGGAAAGGCTGGGAGGATTGCACAAACTTCTGCTCCAGCATCCTAGAACTGCTACACCTGCCCTGTGCCTCCCTCCTCAGGACTTACTAATACAGGAGAAAAAGCAAAACTCTAACACGGAAGCCAATGCTTTTGAGGATTCTGTTACTTGCAGCCAAATACAATTCCTCTGTGATAAAACATCTATAATGAACACAATTTGGAATAGATGCTTCTAATTTAGGGTTCACAAACACTCCATGGGTTGCTTCCAATGTTCTGAGACCCACTAGGGCCAGCAGGCTAATGCTACCCAATGATGTATACATCCTAATCCCAAGAGCCTGTGACTCTACATGGCAAAAGGAATTTAGTAAATGGGATTAAAGTTAAGCACCTAGAGATGGCAAGATTGTCCTGGATTATACAGGTGGGCCCAACCTAATTGTGAGACTTCTAAAAATCAGAGAACCCTTCCTGGCTATAGTCAGTCAGACACAGATAGGATGATGAAAACAGAGACAAAGAGATGTTGTAGTCCTGACTTCAGACATGGAGGAAGAGGTCCATGAACCAAGAAATATGTTGTTGTTGTTGTTGTTAGGTGCCATCGATAGCGACCTTATGCACAGCAGAACGAAACACTGCCTGATCCTGGGCCAACATCACTACTATTACCATGCTTGAGTCCATCAATGCTGACACTTGACCAGTCCATCTCATTGGGGGTCTTCCTCTTTTTCTCGACCCTCCACCTTACCAAACATGATATCCTTCTC